ATTGATCTCAAACATTTGGCTGAAACAGGATGAAGACAGAAGTGTAAAGTTTTGGATTTAAGTGCAAAATATAAATTATAAATATATAAAATGGGGAACTTGATTTGGTATCAGTGAATTTTAATACACCACAAGCTTTATATGACCCATCAGTGTGATTCTAGTACTCAAAAACATATCATCTCATACAGCATTAATAAAATACACGGTGCAGACACTGGGAAGTAATAGTATCAATGTAATCCACAGCAATTAGACCATATTTCTCAAGTATTGAATACAGACCTGGGTATCACATTTTAAGAGATACATTGACAAAGTTGAAGCTGTTTAGATGGATCTAGCCACACAGTGAATGGTTTTATAAACTAGGTCACAGGAAGACTGGTTGGGTTAAGTAGGGTGTACTAAGGGGGCGGGGTCAGAGTCCTAAGAGCTGTCTTCCCATGTTTCACAAGCTCTCAGGAGAACATAAACACTGTTGTCATTTCAGAGGCCAGACTGAGCATCAAAGAGAACAGTTTTATTTAGGGAACTTTTACAGAATACAAGGATTTTTCTACAAAAACTGCCTCTTAAAGTAATGAACTGTTTTCCTAGAAGTATTCTGTTAGAGACCAGGTCATGATCTGTCAGGATTACAATGGGAAGGAATCTTGAGTTGGGTGGGAGCTAAATTTGGCTCCTAAACGTTAACTCTGATTCTTAATTTTCCTTTTATAGGAGTTCTGTGGTTTGTAGAACTCAGTAGTAGTAATAGCCAACATTTACTGAGTACTAAAATGCTAGTTAATATACTAAGTGAAGTAGGTATATTGATCATCTTATTCGTAAGTCTCACAATATTCCTACATAGTAGGTACTATATACCATTTTACCAATAAGGAAACTGAGGCATAGAGAAGTTCAGTAAATTGCTTAAGACTGTATGGCTAGCAAGTGGCAAAGGCTGGATTTGAAGCTGGCATTTTTGTCTCTAGGGCCCCTGTTGTTCTGCTGTTCTACTTTATGCTACACCCTGAACACTTCAACATATATGTTCATTAAAATGTCACATGTTTCAGGAATATAATCATTTGTCCTAAGTGTTAAATCGGATACTTAGATTGCCTGTCTCTAAAAAGCACCATTAAAAAAGCATCTGTTTTTCTAATATGGGTATACTCATAGAACCTGAAAATTTTTATTTATATACCCCTCCAACCCTTAAGCAACCATTATTACCATTTTGATGTTCAATAATTTTATACAGTTAAAAATAAATTAAAATGGCAGATCATTTCTGACACAGGAAATGGTGAAGCATTGAAAAGTTTGGATCCTAGAGCAATCCCTTAGCGAGGTATCTTAGTCTGGGCTGCCGTAATAGAATACCACAAACTGAGTGGTTTACAAAAAATTAGTTTACTTCTCACAGTTCTGGAGGCTGACATTCTCAGATCATGGTGCCAGCATGGTTGAGTCCTAATGAGAACACTCTTCTGGGTTGCAGACTGCCAAATTTTTGTTGTTTCTTCACATAGACAAAAAAAAAAAGCTTTCTCATGATTTTTGTAAGGGCTCTAATCCCATTCATGAGGGCTCCACTCTCATGACCTCATCTAATCCTGATTACCTTCCAAAAGCCCCACCTTCTGGCGCCATCACAGTGGGGAACAGGGTTTCAACATGATTTTGGAGGGATACAAATGTTCGGTCTATAACACAAGATTTGACTTTTCTCCTAACTCAATATTGAACCATACTTGTCCTTTATAGCATCAAAACTCAGTAAGGGAAAAATGTTTTTTCATTTGCATGAACAGGTTATTATAATTTGATGATTGAATTAGAGACATCATAAAATGTTAACATAATACCTCAAATTGAGTTTATTCATTCAATATCTATTTACTGTTCTCAGCTCTGTGCTAGTTGTTGGGGAGCAGAGTAGTGAAGCAGCCCGTTAAGGCCCCTGTTTTCATGGGATTTACATTCTGCTGGCAAAGACACAATGAATGAGCCACCAGTCATTTATCAGGTCAACAGGAGAAAAATCAGAAATATGCCTGACTTTTGATAAATGCATATACCTGTGTAACCCAAGCTTCATCAAGAAATGAAACTTTACTAAAATTCCAGAAAGTTCCCTCATGCTTGAAATGCTTTCCCTAGAATCTGGCATGACTGGCTCCTTTTTGTCAGTCAACACTCAGTTTAAATGTCTCTTCCCTGCACGTCCCTCCCACAGAGGCAACTACTGTTCAGATTTGTTTTAGTTTGAGCTAAATGGAACATATAATATCTTTTTTGTATCTGGCTTCTTTCGCTCAGTGGAATGTTGAGATTCATCTATGTTTTGCATGTATCAGTAATTTCTTCCCTTTTTGCTGAGTAGTATTCCACTGTAGTATTCCATTCCTGGGCTGTTTCTGGTTTTGGGCCATTATGAATAAAGCTGTTATGAACATTTTTATACAAGTCTTTTTGTGGACAGATTTAATTTATTCAACTTGAGACTCAGAGAACTGTGCCAAATCTGACCTTGATCTTACAAATCTTCAGTGTGTAGCTATTGAGTTTCTCAGTCCATCCTCCGTGTCTGTGCTGTTTTCTACCTCTTTATCTCTGTGCTGCATTCTGGGTGACTTCCTCAGATTTATCTTCAGTTCAATATCTCTCTCTCTCTGTATGTCTGATCTACTGTTTAATCTGTCTCTTGAGTATTGAGTTAAAAAATTTTAACAAATATTTTTCACATCTAGAATTTCTACTTTTTGTTGCCTCCTGCTTTATATTTTAGATTTTATTTTAATTTTTCTGAATGTTCTTACTTTAAAATGCCTTTCATATCTCAGATATAGACATTTTTGTTTGATGGCTCTGTAAACTATTTTTACTGGCTTTAGAGTTTTTTGGGTTTTGATTTATTTGTGAGCTCTCTTCTAGGATATGATCTCCTGTGGAAATCTACACATTTCCTGTGTTGCAGGAACATAAATATATATGTAACAGTTCTGTGATTGACTCTGTCTGGTTCCAACAGAATTCACCAATTCTACACACTTTAATTTTAGTTTCTTGGCTTAGAGTTTCCTTTTGTGAAGGTAATGTGAACTGGGGCCCTGTTCCAGTCCAGAGTGTAGACTTGAGGGTCTGCCCTGGCATGGGGGATTCTGTTCATACTTTGCGCCTTGGGCAGGTGGCTGCTCATGGGCAAGGCAGCACTCTCCAGGATCCCAGCTGTGCCCTGGGTCTTTGGCCTAGACTTCTGTCCCTGGTTTGGCAATATACCCCAGCACTGAGCCTGGTATGAGTTCTGGTCTTTGCCCAGCTTTATCTCCCGCCCACTGTGGGTTCCCCTCTTCCATTTCTGGCACCTAATGATTTCCCTTTCTTCTGTTTGAGTTAACTTGTGTTTTACACTTTTATCTTTTAATGCTTTCTCCAGCATTTGTATTTTGTAGAGTGGCAAAGGGAAGGGTTTTTGTATCTTAGATTTTTTTAAACTAGAAATCTCTGCAAGTTCTTTGACCTCATTAAGCCTTAGTTTCTTCTTCATTAAAAGTACTGCTAAAAGTACTTATGTGTACTTTGCATAGTTTCTGCAATAAAGTAAATATTTTTAAAATAGCCTAGCCATTTTATTGTTTCCATTAGTAGTGTAATGCTTGTTGTGAGTCTGTATTTTCCTCTCTAGTGCCACATATTTCTGTAGACATGATTATAGCTCAGCATTGCTGTAAATACTGTTATTTTTTAAAATTTGTGTTGGAGCTTTTGAAAGATGATAATAATAGTACACATTCAATAGGAAACCCTCAACCATAAAGAAATGTAGGAGGGGTTTAGCAGATCACTGTGTCTTTGGGCTGTATAGATTTTAGGGTAGAGCCCAGAGTGTTTTTGTTTGGCTGCCACAATGGTTTAAAAACTAAATTGTTGCTGACATTTAGAAATGGTGACGTTTCACATAAAATTCAGATATCTGACTTCTCTTGAATGAACAAGTAACTTGAATAGTCAAGTTACCACACTGGGCACTTCTTCCACAACAGGACCCATCAGTTTGTGCAGAATAGCTGCTGTTCCATATTTTCTCTCAGTCACTGAGGCCAAGGGCCACTTACTATATTGTTACACGTTTACAGATGTTTTTTAAATAGTACAGAAATAGTACTATATACCTATTTCTCTGTCAGAAATAGGAAAATGAAAGATAGATGGAGAAAACCACATGTTATTAAATAGAAAAGAGGCTCTTGTGGTAGAAATGAAGAGCTCCTACATATTTAATAGGGTATCTGTGTCTGTTTTCTTGAACTTGGCTTGCTTCACTTATCTGTGTTATCCTGTCATGAACCCTGTGGACATTTCAATTTGCAGCCTCCTTCCAAGCATCTTGGATCTCTTTTTAAGTCTTGTATTTTTTTTTTTTTCTGTTCTAGTCCGTCTTCCCTTTTGCACTGCCCTAGCTTACCCACAATAACTGAGTTTGTTATGGAGAACTACTTAGACTTCTGGAGCAATGGAAAATCCATGTTTACCCAAGCCTTTTTGCTCCATCCCCAACTGCACCCACCTTCCGGAAAAGTGAAAAAAATCTCTGCAGTAACTTGCTGATGATTGGATTTTTTAATTGAAAACTAGAAGTTTGCATTCAGCTGTTAGAAACTGAAAGTTTAAAGTGCAAACACCTTGAAGAAGATGCATTAACTAAAATTTACATCAAGTCAGAGTGGGAGTCTAGCTTATTCTATCTTGATTGATATGATTTTATATGATTTAGAGAGCCTTGAGCAACTGGTAGAGGGCAAGGGGATTTAAGGGTGAAAATGGAGATAGAGATGGAGTACAGAATGAACAAAAGTGATGAAATTTAAATATCACTGTATCACTCGTGGAAATCTGTAGCAGTTTTTTAAGTTTGTGGGTACAAGGATTATAAATGGAATACTTTTTAGGGAAAACTTCTTTCCATATAGATTTAAATTCTGAATGTAAATATATTTGTTTTGCAGGTTGTGGCATTAATGATATGCTTTCCTAAACAGAAAAGTTGAAGATGTCTAGACACTTAGTGGCTTTGACAGTGACCGCCCTTCTTGGCGTGGCTGTCGGGGGGTTTGTCCTGTGGAAAGGTATCTGGCACCGGAGAAGTAAATCGAGCCGTGTGATCCAGCGGTGGCACCAGCAGAAAGCACCAGGCAGGAGAGAGCTGCCCGCCGTGGACAAGGACGAGGTGCACTCCAGTGCCCCCAGAGCCTCGTGGGAGGAGAGGATCCTTAAAGCAAAGGTGGTGACTGTGTCTCAGGAGGCAGAGTGGGATCAAATCGAGCCCTTCCTTAGGAGTGAGTTGGAAGATTTTCCAGTACTTGGAATTGACTGTGAGTGGGTAAGTTAAAAAGCAAAAAGAAAACAAAAATCTCTGTTTTTCCACATTGGGACATGAAACAGTCAAGTAGAGGAAAAGATGAAAGGAGAATTCAACTTTCTTGATTTTAGCAAAAGTTCCTTCTCTTCTTAGGATAGGAGAGTGCTTATGATCATGGATTCTGGGTCAGACCCATGAGTTCCATTTTCACCATTTGTCATTCTGTAAACTTGGACAAGCTACATAACTTCTCAGAATATTTGCTGGTAATAGAATGTGATAGTATCTACCTTCCAGGGCTTTTTAAGGATTCAAATCAATAACCCCAATAAAGAATTCAGCCACTATTAATACACTTAATAGTATTTTCATAAGGATACCATAGAGAAAATAGTTTAGGATGTCTACTTAAATGGGAATTATTATTCAAATTAGGCTTTTAAAAGAATTAAAATTTGAAACATTGTTACTCTAAGACAGATCTTTCGCTGTTCTGTTTGCATTGTTTCATTTAAATTTCTTAATAATCCTATGCAGGAAGCTGCTATTGTTATCCTCACGTTACAGTTAGGAAACAAGGCATAAAAAGCTTTAGTTACTTGGCCAAGGCCACAAAGCAGGTAACCAGCATTTGACCCCAAGCCTTTCTTATCCATCTGGTGGAGTTTTCTACTAGCTCTTACTCTGGGGGAGTTGTTGCATAGTTGTGATGATGATACTATGGTACACCTATACTTCTGTCATTTGGATTCATGGTGAACTTTAATCTCCTTGAAATAGAAGATATTATAAAATATAAATAAATCATAGTTATCTCTTATTAATTCAGCATAATACCTTGCCAAGATTCTCTGAAATACATCTCCTGGATATCTAGAATATAGCCAAGAGCCAAGAAATATAACCAAAAGAGGTCCTAAGCAGAATAGCTGTCACAAAATCATATCACAGGTTGGTAGAGGGCCTACCAGATACCAGTACAATAATGACCAAGAAGAGAACACCTGACAGTGTGGGGAAAGTTTGGTAGTCACACAAGACCTTATACCTTAGCTACTGAAGTTTCTTTATACCAACATTGTGGTAGTTTATACCAATGACCGTGGGCCATCAAGAAAGAATTGGGCACTTTTTGTCTATTCTGTGTGAGAAATTATATAATTTAAGGAATATTTATGTCTATATCATTTAAAAAATATCTGCACTAACAAGAAGAGAATATTAATAAGCAACTTTAGTAGATTAGGAAAATTCACATTTGCCAAACACCTTGATATTCCAATTATATGAAGTATAACTGCAGTAACAACAGTGTAGTCTGAAATGAATAGTAACAGCAATTGATTTAATAATAATATGCTTAATTACTATAGCAGAGGCATGGATATGTTAAAGTGGCAAATGATTTAAAACCCACTTCATTTTGACATGTATTGAGCTCATGCAGGAGGCCACATCTCCCTTGATGGTGATTGCATTTACCTGATTACTACCACAGAAAGACTTTATAAAAATGTCATCCTTCTATAGACCATCTATGGTTAAAAGAACATATGGGATGTGAACAGATCCCAGAAATGGGCTGCTTTAATTTGTCTGATGGTTCAAGTACAGTTGGACAATATCCATCATATCATAGATAAATTTTCACAAATGCCTAGGGTGCCTAAATGGTTTTCTTGGCTTCACTGGAGATGGATGGTAATTATAGATTTGCTTTGTTTATGTCACCGTATTCCTATTATGTTAATATGTGTGTGCAAATTAGTTAGTAGTTTAAAACCTATACATACTTAAGGTACTATACAAGAAGATATGTCAAAGAAATAATCAATCCTCCCAAGTTTCCTTCATATGCTACATCTATAGCTTTTCTTCTTCCTTCCTAATTACAACCCTTAAATAGAATTCGTGCCTCATATCGAATTTACCGAGTATCATAATTCCTCCAGGTGGTAAAGATACCTCGAGACAAGTGCTGGGCATAGAAGCCACAGGGCATAAATCTGCAAAGAAGTAAAAAGCTAACCTTTGCAAACAATATGGCTTCTCTCTCACTTACCAACTTTACATTTCCCTGTATGGCCCCGGAAGATGACTGGTTAGCCAGAGACGGGTAAGATTCCTCAAGGGAGGAACAACCTAAGACAGGCACAGTCGCAGGGGGGCCATCAGGTGAGAATTTGGGGATCAACAGAGGTGAGGCTCAGAACCTCACCCCCCCTGCTTTGAGAGAAATCTTCTGCATCCGTGGATGTCTTGCTGCCCTTGTCTAGCCTGGATTAATACTTAGTCCATAGGCACACACCTGATCATCTGATCATCTA